GGGGGGGGGGGGGGGGGGGGGATAGCAGGGGAGGAAAGGCCTTCAGGTCCCTGGCTGCCTGGGTTCTTGGGTCTGCTTGCATCAGGAGCAGGAGAAGCCTCATTCTGTTCGCAGGTCTCAACTTCCTCTACCCTTAAAGGCGCACTAAACTACTGGAAAGCCGCACTTCCAAATATTTATCATACCTGGTCTTTATACTTCTTACAGGGTGGGGCAAAAGTAGATTTATAGTTTTAAGTGAATGAAAGTTTATTTCCTGTATTATTGTTTATTAGTTATGGCATTATTTTCCATACAAACGACTGTAAGCCTACTTTTGCCCTACCCTGTATTTCTTTTTTATTTTATTTTATTTTAACTTGCTTATGTGTATCTCTACACATTCGACTGTGAAGGCAGGGTCTCAGTGTGTCTTAGCACACAGTAGGTGCTCAATAAATGTGTTGAATGAATGAAAGAACAAATGAATGATGACATGATGGCCTTCAAAGCCAGCTTCTCACCAATCGGTTCTCTCCCAAAGGTCACCTTCTGGAGAGGCTTTTCCTGACCATGCCACCAGAACAGTCTACCTCTCCGTCACTCCTATTTCATTTTCTTTGTAGCACTTACAGGTTTGAATACTTTTGCATAATTCCTTGTTTACGCCTTTGTTTTCTTGTTATACACACACACACACACACACACACACACGCAAACTCTACTTCATGAGGGCAGAAGACACTGGTCTGTCTTGTTTCAAGCTTTGTTTCCTGTGCCTACAGGAGCTCAATACAAGTTTGATGAATGAATGAATTACTGAGTGAGCACAGGTTTCCTGCCTCCTGGGCTCTAGGCTCTGAGTAAAACCACAGCTTTCTCCCTTCATCTCTTACCGGGTATTCACAAATAAGTAAATGGCAAATTCTCTGGAAGTTGCAAATGCTTCTAAACTTACTGGCTTTTGTTCAACCTAGGAACCTGAAGAGAGGCTGAGGAGATACACAAGTGAATGCGCTCAGCAACCAGTGGAGCCTCCCGTGACTGGCAGCAGGAACTCCTTGACCTCTGGCACAAACATCCAGAATTGGGTTCCAGTCAGTTGGTACAGGAAGAAGGGGTATGTCTTTAGAGGAAAGAAAACATATATGCCCTAGCCGGTTTGTCTCGGTGGATAGAGTGTTGGCCTGCGGACTGGGGGGGTCCCAGGTTTGATTTGGTCAAGGGCACATGCCCGGGTTTCGGGCTTGATCCCCAGTGGGGGGTGTGCAGGAGGCATCCACTCGATGATTCTCTCTCATCATTGATGTTTCTGTCTCTCTTAATTCCTCTGTGAAATCAATAAAAATATACATTTAAAAAAAAAACATATATGAGCTAGTGGGCGTGGGAGGAC